GCACTGAGGAGCAAGACAACACTCCCAGATCAGTCCTGGGCAAAGTCAAAATATTCGAGAAGATGGATCACAAGGCAAGATTGCAGAGAATGCAAAAGCTCCAAGAAGCACAGAATGCAAGGATTGAAATTGCTCAGAAGCATCCTGATATCTATGCAGTTCCAGTTAAAACGTACAAGCCAGATGCCAGCCTGCCCCAGCACACCAGTTCCAGACCCCCTGAGCCGCAGAAGGGTCCCTCCAGACACTATCAGGATGCCAGAGGAAGTTATGGCAGTGAAGCCGAGGAGGAAGAGGAGTATCGCCAACAGCTGGCGGAGCACTCCAAGCGCGGTTACTATGGCCAGCCTGCCCGGTACCGGGACACGGAATTGTAGGTGTCTGTCAAAGCAGAGACTCTTCTGGGTCTGCAGCCACCTCCAACGGGCCCGCCTGCGAGGCCACCAGGTTGAATCTTTTCCAGTTAACACGCACCGTGGAGGTGTGGTGGTAACAGAGCTCCTGCTTCCCGTGCAAACCCAGGTTCGCTGTTTGGGACAGGGTAGAGGAGTTTATTATGGCTTTTTGCTCAGAATTAAGAGGAACATTACAGTACGATACTGTTACTTGCTTCAGTGGACCAACATCTGTATTAATCCTGTCTTGTGTATTTTTAATATGTATATTGAGAAGCAATAATTATTTTTTCTCATTTATAGCTGCCTTTAAGGACTGCTTCACTGTGAGGCAGACCTGGGAAAAGGAATAAAAAATACTGTTGGACTCAAACCACTTTCAAAGAAGTATTTTATTACAACTCTCTAAGTGCCTTTGATGAGAAGAAGTGTCTTAAACTTTCCTCTTTTGAAGCTTTATGCAAAGCCATAATGGACTAAAATTGTATTTTCCCTAAATTTTTGTACCAGTTTAATAGCTGGTTTTTGCTATGCTGTGTCATCTTTTCAAGGCATTCATCTTTATAATACTTTTCATAAATTCTGACTGTACATATAATAGCTGTACTTGGTAGTATGTCTGTAAGTACTAAATAGCTTGAAGACCAAGAAGTTGGTATGGAAATATTTTGTTTCAAACCATGTGTTCCACAAAAGCAGATACTTGAGAAAAGATTATTTTATTTCCACAAGTTTGTGTATTGGCAGCAGTTTTATAATTTAATAAAAAGGAATACATTTCAAATAATAATAATAATAATAATAATCTGGTGAGAAGGGGACTCTGTTTTTTCCTCCTCTTGAGGTCCAGGAAATCCTGGTTCAAGTGCCTTTCTGCTTGTAATATCTACAAGTGTCTAGATCAATGGCAGCCCATGATTCTGCAGCATGCCAAGAGTCAAAAAATTCAGACTATTTAATTGTTTAAATTACAATGCCATGAGCTACCATTCTATGAATACAAACCTTTTTAATACGTTATATTCAGAAACAGGGCTAAAGTGTAAGGAGCTCAGATATGTTAACACTTTTCTGATTAATATTATTTTTCTGAAATATATCCTGGAGTTCTAGCCTGGGACCATTTTTCAAATCTGTGGACCCAGCAGGAAAACTATCTGCTAAGTCAGTTCTAGCCCCCAAGTATTCATCCCATGTTATCTATGATGGATGGTGATAGTCAGCCATTGTTTCCTTCCAAATTGTGTAAAAATTTGAATGTATGACCAAACAGTTTTGGTGGGACAGATCTGAGACATGGCTCCTAGAATATTTTTATCTACCTCTCTTAGTCTCTGATGGGAATAAGGGATGGTCTGAGTCCCTTGAAGTTTCTCAGAGATGACTTTTCAATCCAAGGGGGTCACCCCCTTTTTTTCATGTATCAGGGTATCCTGGAGAATATGTCTTGAGAAATGTTCTCATGGTTCAGTAAATAGTTTCCCTATCCTTCTTGGGTCAGAAGAGCCTTAGCATATAATTTGGATTTAAGATCAATCACATTAAAATATGTGATTTCTTCTGTAGCTTTGCTTGTGAATAGGTACCAGTTATACCCTGAGATTAATCTGCAGGAGATGGTGAGTTTTACAGTTACAGGGAATCCAGGGAGCTGGAGGTATGGCTCATGAAGGACATTCTGGGATAAATTAATATAAAGAAGGGCTAGGAAAAGAGTATGTCATAGGTGAGTTATTGGGGCTCCAGGAAATTTACAGGATTAAAGGAAATTATTTTTCTGAATATACTGTTCAACAGCCTCCATAATTAGAGATTAGAATTATCCATTGTTCAGATTCTTAATACCAAGTGCAATAAACTGAAATTTCTGCATCCCAAACTTTTCTTTCTTTTTTCTCTTGCACTCTCTTCATAGAGATTAATTTATGATATCCTAGCAGCCCCAAAGGAGCCTTGTACATTGTAGCTCAATGTAGAAAGTTTTCACGGGCTGGGGATGTGGCTCAAGCGGTAGCGTGTTCGCCTGGCATGTGTGTGGCCCAGGTTCAATCCTCAGCACCACATACAAACAAAGATGTTGTGTCTGTAGAGAACTAAAAAAAAAAATAAATAAATATTAAAAATTCTCTCTCTCTCTCGCGCGCGCGCGCGCGTCTTTTCTGTAAACCTCGCTACCGCATTAGGTGGCTGGAGGTGGGAGCTAGGAGAAGCCGTCCTGGAGCTGGTACTAAAGGTAATAAGAGTTTTGTCTCTTTAATTTAAAACTCCCTAGCATTTACTCATGAATCAAACCTTCTTTCTTGAAGCCAGCGCTGGTCGCGTGGCAAATATTACATGTGGATTTCCAGTTTTCCCAGCACCATTTGTTGAAAAGGCTCTCTTTTCTCCAGTGTATGTTTATGGCACCTTTGTTAGTATGAGATAACTTGTACTTATATGGGTTTATCTCTGTGTCTTCTAGTCTGTATCATTGGTCCTCATGTCTGTTTTGGTGCCAATACCATGCCATTTTTGTTTCTATAACTCTGTAGTATAATTTAAGATCTGGTATTGTGATTCTTCCTGCTTCACTTTTCTCACTAAGAATTGCTTTGGCTATTCTGGACCCCTTATTTTTCCAAATGATTTTTATGACTGCTTTTTCTATTTCTGTGAAGAGCATCATTACAACCTTAATGGGTATTGCATTAATCTGTGTAGTGCTTTTAGTATTATGGCCAATTTGACAATATTCATTCTGCTTATCTAAGAACATAGAAGGTCTTTCCATCTTCTAAGGTCTTCTTCAATTTCTTTCTTTAGTGCTCTGTAGTTTTCATTGAGGAGGTCTTTCACCTCTTCCGTTAGATTGATTCAAGATATTTTTTTGAGGCTATTGTGAATGGGATAGTTTTCCTAATTTCTCTTTTAGTTGATTCATCACTGATGTATAGGAACACAATTGATTTATGGGTGTTGATTTTATATCCTGCTACTTGTCTGAATTCATTTATGAAGTCCAGAATTTTCTCATGGAGTTTTCTGGGTCTTCTAAATATAGAATTGTGTTGTCAAATAGGGATAATTTGAATTCTCCTCTTCTTTTTAATTTCTTCTTTTTACATGACAGTAGAATACATTTTGACAAATTATATATATGTAGAATACAACTTACTCTAATTAGGATTCTATTCTTATGGTTGTATATGCTGTGGAGTTTCACTGGCCATGTATTAATATATGAACATAGAAACATTATGTCTGATTCATTCTACCCTCTTTCCTAAATCCATTCTCCCTCCCTTCCCTTCATTTCCCTATGTCTAACCCAATGAACTTCTATTCTCCCCCACACACTTTCCATGTTAGCTTCCACATATCAGAGAGAATATTCAACATTTGGTTTTTGGGATTGTGACTCTTCCACAATCTGTTATGTGGGATCTTGGGTGAGTCATTGCTTATCCACATCTATATGATCAAGGGCTAATGATCTGTGTCCTGCCTGTCAGGATAGCTGAGAGTTCCCTCAAAGACATAGAAACTAATCAGAACCATTCATAATTTCAGGGCTGCAGGAAGAAGGTCCAGACCAAGTCTCTCTTGCTCACCCCAGCACTCATGGCATGATGCTTGCATGATGATAACATGCAATCAGTAAGAAAATGAACATTTAGTGAATGTGTGTCACTCTTTGTGGTTAAACATGACTGTTCTTTTCCTGAGTATCCAGGAGGAAAAAAGCTGCCTATACCTTATCTCCTT